AAGTATTAAATTAAGTACCTATCTACACAAAATATGATTTTTATAGAAAAAATCTTTATATACCTATTATACAATTTCTGGTATAAATGTCAGTAGTTCAATCTGAATTTTACAACTCACAAGGCCACAGCTATAGAGTAAGTTAGGCTTGGCCACATACGTATCATATACAATTCTAGGATATTATTTAAATAAAACAACTTTTTAAAGAGACCATTGAGTGTTTGATTCATGATTGTATCAAATTATAAAATTTACTGACTTCCACTTCTTATAACATGAGTCGACCCTATTTTTAAAATTTGTTTTGGATGTTTTTAAAACAAAATAGTAAACTTACTAAGTCCTTTTAAGTTTTAACCCAATAAGGCTGCTACTATAATTTGATTTTATCATTTTAGATAATACATTATATAGGTATATGCATAGGGGCAATTTCAACTTTTGACTTGGGGGGCTGAATACATTAAAGGCAAGCATACTATTTCAATATAGAATTTTAAAATTGTATGTCATAGATTTTTTTGGGGGGGAGGGGGGGCTGCGACCAAGTTTGGAGGCCTTATCCCCCGATTTGCGTCTATGGGTCTATGAATGAAGTTTATAATTGGTTTTTTTTTTTACTTTTTGAAAAAAAAAATATACCTCTAAATACCGGTATTTACCGGTACCAGAACCGAAACCTTAATTCTGTAATTTTAAGAACCGGAACCGAAACCGGTACCGAATTTTTATTTTTTTGAAGAACCGAATTGGAACCGAAACCGAAAAAATCATAAAGGTTCCAAGCCCTGGCACGAAGATATTTCAATTGTGTTCAATTTGACGTACCTACTGTTTGTTAATTACGGTAGCCATGGAAAATTATAATACCAAACAGTAAAGATATATTATTAACTAAGAACAGTAAAAAAAAACGTACTTCGCACATAGGGTATTCTTTGCTTCTCGAGTGGGAGTATATGATTTAAAAAAAATTATAAACCATATCTTCCGACGATTCCGAGAGGAGCTTCAGTTTGAACAAGAGAATTTTACTTAAAAATTATAAAGTTTGTCATGGCAACAAAAAAAATGTATTTTTACCCGGCCAGTTTTATATTTAACTGTTAATTGAGAAAGTAATATAAACATTTTTTGATGAGACAAGTGTTAGAAAAAATGTTCAACATTTTTTTTTCACATTTTCAAAATTTTCTTGCACCAAAATATTTCTCGTATGATTGTCTACCTTTGTTCTTTACTTAATAGTCTTAATATAATATAGTATTATAATTATTATAATATAATTTGTGTTAGTAACTCAGTAGGTATAGGTTAAGTGTGCTGTGTGAGTGTGTGACTATTAAGTATAAATTAAATCTGAATGTAACTGTTATGTTTGCGAAATAAATTTTTTGTATTACCTATATATTATCTATATTCAGTAGCCATATAGGTAGATACATATACAGGTACAATTTTTTTCAGGTTGATACTAAGTTCTATTCGTTATATAAAAATTAACTTAACTTAACTTTTACTCTTGGAGACAAATAAAAATACATTTTAAAATTAATAGATGGGAAAATTTAAGATTTATGTTCTATGTGCCATGGGTAACAACTCTGTATATTATCACAGAACAATAGTATTATGTTCCTAGGGCCAATTTGATTCATTAGGTACTAGTTCAAAATTGTATTCATAGATAGAACTGTTCTATGTGGCATGACTGGCATGCCCATTGTAACATGTGCGTTCCAAGTACCTTTCGTGAATATAATGATATTATGATACAGCCATTATGTCTTATGTCACTTTATGTGTATGTGGGACAGAGGTTCAAGTGAAGGTAACACAGGAAAACTCGGAGCCCCTACCTTAAACGGCACTTCAAAAGCTTCCCCTTAACAAATTTCACTAATATTTTGTTAGGATGCTTACATTTTTAGAAAGCAAGTGAAATTGCTGTACAAAATAATAATAAGTCAATCAAATGCTTCCATCATAATAGGAATTATTTTCTGATGAAGAAAATTAGAAAGATTTTAACAGAAATCCTCTTAGATACATTTTAACTTAAAAATCAGACATTGATACTTTTCCCTAAACCCAGTCGCAAGAGAAGAAAAATGATCTGTGGCCATACCTATTCCTTTTTTACCTGAAGAGCATAGAAACTTTTGTATAAATATAAACTTACTTTTGCTTTAATGTACTATGATGTTGTTATGTACAGTCAAGTTTTTTTTTTAAATTTAAATTTGTTTATTTTTCAATTTTTGATTCACAAAAATAAAAATATGAGTGCTAATATTATAAAAGGTATTTTTTATTTATTATTTCTGTATTTCATTGTTAAATGAAGAAAAAATATTCATTTTATGCAATAATGCAAGTATTTGATTTTAACTAATATGAAATAACAAATATAATGATAGAATTTAACTATACTATAAATATATAATTACCATTTATTTTTACACAAAATTATTTTTGATATTTTGAATGTTGTAATGTTTTTTGTTTCCTGAAAAATTAGTTTTTTGGCAAAATTTTAAGTGCATTTGATGTATGCCTCAAAATGAATGTAGGTACACTATTATACTTTGTAACACATTTTGCCTGATTTAAGCAAAACCAAGTATTGAAATGAACATTAAAAGTAAAAAAATATAATATTTATATAAATGTTGTTTTTTGTTTATATAATTTGTTACTCTTTCCCATCATTGATGAAACTATAATATTTTAAGTAGGTTTAAGGAGAAATATAATATTAAGTTATTAAATAACTTAGTAAAGCTATTTATAATAAGCTATCAAACAACTTTTAAGCATCTATATTTAAGGATAAATTTAAAAAATAATTCATTGCTTAACACATAATAAAATTAGTTTCTATGATGTACAACTTTGAAGGTATGTACTGAAAGAACCATTATAAATCTGAAACCCTTCACTGCAATTCTCTAAGCTAATGTGATTCTAACAAGACCCTGAATAACAAAATCCAATCTTCAGGAATCAATGAACAAAAATTTAGATAAATTTGACCATTTCTTTAACTGTAAATTATAAACCAAATATTGATTAATTTTTTTTAATTTCAAAAATGTAACTACCAACACTTGACAAACCTTTTCTAAAGAAATATCAACAAACTATCTAGCTATCATAGTGTAAGAGAAAAGTTAAAATAGTTTTCAGAGGAAGCCTCGAAAACATTGAACGGAAAACAACATTTTGTTACTTAATACCTTGAGGTTCAAGATTTTGACCACCAATTTTATTTTCTGACATTCGATTTGAAAGGCACTTATTTTCAAGGCTGAACACGATTACATTTTTCTTCTTCAAACCATACTACTAGGGTAGATAAAAATAGATTCATACATGTGAATATAATTTAATAATAACAATAAAACAATATAATAAATAATATTTATTTATAATAATTCATTAAATGTTAATAGTTATTTAGTTAAAAATCCTCATGATTAAAATAATTTCTCCTTGACAAAGTGGACATCTATTCAAAGGACCGGTACTGCAGGTTTCACATATACATCGGTGTCCACACGGTGCACAAGCATGTGTACTTGGCTCAGACAAACAAACAACACATGAGTTTGGTTGTCTAAGAATCAAATTATCAGGCACCGGAGCAAATGGAGCAACATTATCATCATCTAGTATAAACATATTACACACATAGCAAACATTTTAAACCGTATTATATTTTATTCGTAAGTTAAAATACACTCAGAATCTCTGAATATCGAATTGATTCATAGAAACATGTATTTCTAAAAGTATATCATAATGTACATGACATAGGTTGCAAACATAGATTTTGTACAGTTGACTAAAATAAATATTTTATATATTCTGGGTGTTTTTATTTGGTTCACTTCATTCTGTATACATCCAATTTATTAAAAAAAAAAATTAAAGTAACGATAAATCATTTACTTTAATAAAACAATTTTGAGTGGAGCTTCAGTTTATATAAAACAATATACATAAAAATTAAAAAAAATTAAAATATTTTGCCTGTCAATTTTATAACCCACAATTATCTAACAGGAAAAAAAATTTTGATGAGAAAGAATGTTTGAAAAAAAATTTCTAAAATTTTCTTGAGCCATAATATTTCTCATAATATTATTGATCGTCTATATTAAAATTTTTAAATATTTATTTATTTAATAATATTTTAACTAATATTTATTTAGTCTATATTTAAACATATTTTCCTAGTCATTTTTTTCAAATTTTGGGTAGTTTTCCCAAATTTTGAGAAAAATAACCTCTCAAAAGTACCATCTAGAGGTAAATTGTGTTTCTTTAAGTTGCTGGTCGAAACATTTGGACAAGTTTAGTATTTTCATTCAATTGTTTAGGTAGAAAAAAAAAATAAACATCATTGTAAAAACACTAGCTTCTTCACAGAACTCAGAATTAAAAATATATAATTTTGTATTTACCATTATCGAATAAAGGTCCATCTTCATCAAAATTTGCAACCAAATTTGGTCTGTCTTCATTATCACTTTCTAAGGTATAAACCAAAATAATATTAATATAATGTGTACAGTATTTTAATATTAATAATATTAATATAATATGTACATTATTTTACATATCGAGATATTAAGGGATGTACTTATATAGTTAAAAATTGTATTTTATCATTGAAATTTAAAAATAAAACAATGAGATTAAAGTTTATTTACCAGGATTGTCCCTTATAAGTGGAATGGCTAAATCAAACATCAGTTTTGGGTTCATAAATAAAAATAAATAGGCTTAAGTTATGGATATAATTAAGAATACAAATTTGTAATAATCAATTTATATAATAAATTACCATTGTTAATAAGTAGCTGCATTGGCAAATTTTCTTCGATAGCATTACCTGTAAAATAATACATCACATTTTGAATTCATATTATAAGTTAATATAATATACGTACATCATTGTAAAAACACTAGCTTCTTCAAAGAACTCAGAATTAAAAATATATAATTTTGTATTTACCATTATCGAATAAAGGTCCATCTTCAGCAAAATTTGCAACCAAATTTGGTCTGTCTTCATTATCACTTTCTAAGGTATAAACCATAATAATATTAATATAATGTGTACATTATTTTAATATTAATAATATTAATATAATATGTACATTATTTTACATATCGAGAAATTAAGGGATGTACTTATATAGTTAAAAATTGTATTTTATCATTGAAATTTAAAAATAAAACAATGAGATTAAAGTTTATTTACCAGGATTGTCCCTTATAAGTGGAATGGCTAAATCAAACATCAGTTTTGGGTTCATAAATAAAAATAAGTAGGCTTAAGTTATGGATATAATTAAGAATAAAAATTTGTAATAATCAATTTATATAATAAATTACCATTGTTATTAGGTAGCTGCATTGGCAAATTTTCTTCAATAGCATTATCTGTAAATTAATACATCACATTTTGAATTTATATTATAAGTTAATATAATATACATTAAGTAATATCCAATTTACCATAATTTTCTATAAATCTTGCCCAATTGGCCTCTCTTTCAAGATACCCATTAACTGTGTGGGAACATTGTAATAAAAATTCCTTTCTCGTTATAATTCCTAACGTCAGTTTTTCAGTACACATTTTAATTCTTCTTGAATTTATAATATATTTATATTTAACTGATCTTGTAATTGGGAGTCCTTTATTTAATTGATTAATAACCACGTGTTGCAACTGACTTAGATTTTGCAAATGTCCTGTAAAGTAATTAGTATGAATATATATATATTTATTATATTGAAATTTTTACTTAAACTTAACAATTTATATCTGTATGAAGTCTTATATTTCACTCAATATTATTTAGCAATTTATTATTTATCTCATTTAAAATTTATATTAAAACATAAACATAAAAGTTTTCTAAAAGAAGGAGGCATCAAGCTCAAAAATATGCATGTTTTATTTCAATTGCCATTAATAGTAAGTATTTTAACTTCAATGTAGAAATAAATGCATACCTAGTACAGTCCACAAATTTGGGTGGGACACTTGAAATTCATCTTTAAGTTTGTTGTGGAAACTTTCAATGTTGTTATTGGTTCGTCTTGGTTTGCCATACACAGAAAATACTTGTGGTCCTATTTGCACTAGCCAAAAACTGAAATAGTATAATAGAACCATTTAAGAATATAACATATAATCCACGTGAATACAAAAATAACAAGTAAAAGTCCATCAGGCGCAGATTCAGAGGGGGTCTATGGGTACTCGAGCACCCCCTGTCACATCATCCACAATATTTAAAAATATATACAATCATTAATTTGCTGTGAACTATGCCACACTTGCATGATGTTGATCCAAATTAGCTGTCATAATTAAAAACCAATGTTTAGTTTTTATGCAGTTCTTAAATTTTTGATTGAAATTAACAAATTTAATTTTGTTATTATTGAAAGTTAATTTCATTTTATTTTATATATTTTAATTTTTGTTAAAAATTGATATTTATAATCAAAAAAATGTATTATATCGTTTAAAGTAGGTATATAGTAGTATGCATAATTATTATTAAGCACGCCTAAACTATACTGTATAAGTTATATGAAATCAAAAAGTCTTGAGAAATACCTTGAGAAATATGTGAAGAATCTAGCCATATTTACATCATTTACAAGAGCATAATCTTTTATGTCCTGAAACCCATCTTCAATTTCATTTGCTGGTAATAGGGCAAGTACCATCATCATTTTCAAACACATTTTACCATGTTCATTATGGCGTAGATATGCTGTCAACTGCATTTTTTTAATATTTTTCCATAAACTCTTAAAATAATATAATAGCATATTTAAAAGGAAGTACTTTGCTAAATAAATATAGGTACTCACTTGAACATAATGAAAATAACATGATACAAGTTCAGCTTCGGGATATGTTATAGCAAATGCATTACGCAATCCCCTTTCATAGTCTGTCATTATGACTGATGGTTGTACATTTTGGAAAATAACTTTGAATCTATTTAGCACTTTTATATATGCCTCTTGAGTTTTTGACTCCATCAATACATAACATATTGGAATAGACTGTAAAATAATGTTACATTAAAAAATATATCATAATTTGAGAGACGTTTATGAATTGAAAATTGTAGGTACTACAGTAAAATTACAGTAAAACCTCTAAATAACGGACACTCATAGACCCAGAAATTTTGTCCGTTATTGAGAAGTGCCCGCTAATTAGAGGTGTCCGTTGAGGAGGTTTCACTGTAGTATAATATGTACATATATATAAACTAGTAGAATGGTTGGTTTTCTTTAGAGAATATTAGCATCATACTTAAGCTTTTGTTTTAATAAAACACCTATAATTATAATTTATAAAGCTCAAATTAGTACTCAATGTAAATATCGATTATTGATATATTATGTTAAATGTAGGTACCTACATATATTTTCATTTTGAACTAAAAAAATAAATATTTTGAAATCTTTAAAACAGGTTAATCTCTGTTTATTATGAAACATATTTTTAATGACTTTTACTATGAGAAATAGTAAGAAGGTATTATCATATACCTAATCATTAAAATATAATTTGTTCTTACGTGATTTTGTATAATAAGGTGAATTATGAACAATTGTCTACATTTGGGTCTCGATGGGACAACTTTAAACGTCCCGTCAGCATGAAGTTCGGTTCCACCACTTGACACTACTATATTGACAAGTTCAGGACATCCAAACATTAGATGACATTTTCCTTGATCATCAAATATCCATTCTTGGTAGAATTGATGGTTCCCACATTTATATTTTTGCCTATTCTCATCAAGTGTTTCCCCTAGACCTCGTAATGTGGCAGGTAACACTAATGTAGTTTTTTAAATATTTGATGATAATATTATCATAATATATAATATAATATAATTATATATATTATATATTATATTATTATATATTATTATTATGTATTATTTTATAACCGCACATATCTCATTAAAAACCTATATTTTTTTTAATAAATATAACAATGTTTTTAAAATTCATTTTTACCTAGTGCAAAATATATGAATTATGTATTACAAGTACTGAACTTGCAGGAATTAAACCATTTAAATTATGTTTTTTGACCGTCCTGAAAAACTCTAAAAACTGAGATATTCACTGTTGCAACGATATAAGGCATATAATTCTAGCACCACAATAAATGTTGTTACTAGTATGTTTAGGTACCTATGTTCATAGATTCAATATTTTATAATTAGTAACGCAATTAGTAGGTACCTAGTTACCTATGACTTAATGATCAATCAAGTATTTTATAAATTACTCTTATTTATTACCTGATCACTTCTTCATCATAAATATTCCTTAGATTCGTTGTTTCAGACGTTGAACGTTCAAGAAGATGTTGACGAAAGTTATACTTGAGGCGATCGTCTACATCTACATATGCATCGTGAATGTGCCTTTTACACTCAATAAGTGTCCCATCATTTGTTCTTTTTAATGAACCTTTGCACACCATATTCGGACTGGAGCATACATAATAACTATATCATAATATAAATTAATATTACATTTACACGTAGGTACTACAGAGAATAAAAAAAAAAAATGTTATTCTTGCAATGGTGGCTAACTAAATAAAACAGGTGCTTGGTAAAAATTATCTAGTACCTACCCGCCAATTTTTAATTACATTTTTTTACACAATAAATATACTAAAATGTCACTTGTTAGAGGTTTGAAGCTAACATATTTTAAGTTGAGGTCTTATAATAATATAGCCGCCACTGCAATTTTATAATAGGTATTATGATAACTTACCAAACACCATTCTTCTTGCCATTACTCTTGTACTTAAATCCATTGTAATCCATTATGTATTTATAAATAAATTTACAATCAAATAAAATAATAAAATGTAAAAATGTAAAAATGTAAAAACAAAAGCAACAGTATTGTAGAGACTAGAGACGTAGAGTATACAACGCGCGTACTGTAACGTTCGAGTCTTCGAGAACGAAGTGATATTCATCAATACACATTATGAAAATATTAAATAATATCAAGTTATTCATGTGTATCAATTTTAATTATTTTTAGATAATTTTGATAACGATTATAAATAGTGCCACAGCGCTGTACCTACTAGCAACCGAAGGGAAACCCAGGCTCAGTTTTTAGTAATAGTAGATAATATAGGCTTTATTTTCTTTTTATAGGCGAATTTACACATTACACATATTATTATTATTAAAATAATAATATTAATACTATAATAGTCGCTGGAAACTCAATGTATATACATAGGTAGTAGGTACCTATTAATAACGCTGTTTGACTATATTAATAGCCCAAATACCCGTCGAACTGTACTATTATATTAAACTCTTCATCTTCTTCTCCTTTAGGTTTTTTATTTATATTCCCTCGGCTTTAAGTGTGAAATGTAATAATGAAAAAGAAATTGTATAGTTATAATTAGTTATTATCTAGTTATTATATTTCTTACATAGTTTGATGTTTATGAATTCTTAACATTGCACATAATATCGTAATTTAGTACCTATAATATGTGCAGGTACCTAGTCCAAAAGAATTTAGACAATTGAAAATAGCACTAAATGTGTATGTTTACGTGTATTTTTACCAAAGATAATTTGGTTATCAGGTGTTTTACTATGGGTTAAACAAATTAGGTAAATTTTGTGTTGAAGAACCTACATACCTATAGAGTTTGTGTTTCTAATCATTCTTTACATAGGTACAGTGTGATGACACTACCATGTTAAATAAAATATAAAAATGTGTATGATATAATTGTTCCTTATATAAATATCTCCTTAGATAAACCACTATGTTAGCTCAAATAATAGTAACTTTTTCATGACAAATATATAGGTAATTAACTTCTACTAGACCAGGGATGGTATCCATATATGGGTACCCATAGTTCCCTAACTAAATATGGTTCATACTCTTAAGTCTTATATATAATATCAAAACATGAAACATAATATTTTCATAATATTTCCTTTCTCACATAGACTTTTATAAACAAAGATTGCTGTCAAACTAATTAAGTTTTTAGAATTTCATTTCATTGTATTAGTTATTATGTTGTTGGTAACCTAACCTAACCTGTTGAATGTATACCAATACAGTATACCATGTATACCAATACAATTTTTGTTGTTTTTATATTTATATTAAAATATTGGTACTTTTTCCCAAATTCATGTTTTTTATACACTTTTTTCTTCTATAAATTAGTACCTATGGATATTTTAGCTCAAATAATACAACTTTTTTAACAATATTATAACATTGTAATGTGTTCTTTTTAATACCGATGAATACTATTAAAACACAGAAAACATATTATGTAGAACAATATTTTTGAAAATATTCATTGAAAATGCATTGAACATTATATAAATATAATTCTAATAGAATCTTGTATATGATATATTATTACTATCTATATTTTATGGGTATGAACTATATAGAAATATACCAACATTCAAATAATTATATATAAATACAAATTTGTATTCGAAATAATTAATAAGCTTAAAATAAAAATTAAGAAATAATTTTTTAATTTAAAACAAAACACTATTTTGTTTTAAGCCGGACATACCTCGTACCATAGATATTCGTCAAGAATGAGCTGATGATAATTTAAGACAAATTTTTTTCCAAAGTGTAATTGGAGGTTTATTAAAAATAAAATCGAGAAAATTTGCAGGAATTTAAATTTAAATATACCATATAAAATAAAATTATCTTTATCTTTATATATTATTAAAGCGTGAGGCGATTTCTCATGAAAGTTATATCTGAAGTTCTACTGGACTGATTTTCATGATTTCTTTTTCAAATTCAAGTACTCGAAGTGCAGATGAGCCATCTAATGAGAAAAGTTTGTTTTTATATTATTTGCACGGGTGCCTAATACTGCCTATAACAGATTATTATGTTGTTTACAGCACCATGGTGCAGAGTTTGAACAATGTGTTACATACCTAACTAAAATTTTTATTTATAAAAAAATCAATATTTTTATTTCTATTTTTATTATTACGTATTTATTATTATTAACTAGAACGGAAATGTTGTCAAGATACTTAGTTTATAGTACTTTATTCGGCTCATTTTTCGAATTTCTCAATAGTTTTTCCAAGCGTGGGCGAAAACTACCGAAAAATTGACAAAAAACGGGAAAAATGCCGTATTCTCGATTTTCGTGAAATCAATTTTAGTTTTTTAGTCATAACTCCATCAATAAAAGAGCTAGGAGTTTGAAAATTTTACTGACTACTAAGAATAGCTACGCGCGTACTCGTTAAAAATTTCAAAAAGATTTAACAACTTTTGACTTATATATAGAACTTTGAAAATATTGGGAATTTCTCGTTTTTTGGAAGTTCACTAAAAACCTTATAAAAAATTGTAATTCTTTATGCGTATAAAATTGTATTACACCAAAATATTCACCATAAGTTTTTCTAGCTGTGTAGGAAGTTTCATATAGATAGGTTGCACCAATATTTTTTTACAAGCGTTAAAGTATGCATTTTGACGAAATTTCTAAAATTTTTTCATCAAATTACACACTTAAACGCATGTAAAAAATAATTGGTGCAGATTATCCATATGAAACTTCCTACACACCTAGAAAAAGATATGGCGAATATTTGGGTGTAATAAAATTTTATACTCATAAAGAATTAAAAATTTTAAAGGTTTTGAATGAAAAAAAATCGGAAAAAGTATTAATAGAACAAATGAATACATATGTTCGTGGAATCTATTTTAGTTTTTAGCCATAACTCCATCAATAATAGGGCTAAGAACTTGAAAATTGTACTGACTACTGAAAATAGTCACGCACATACGCGATAAAAATTTCAAAAAGATTTAACAATTGTTGACTTATATATAGAACAGGTATAATAATAAATTGACTATCCACTGAGTTTCACTCAGAATCGTTTTTTCGAATGCAATGATTTATCAATGCATTCAAATGTAAAGTACCATACAACTAAATTATCGTGAGCCAGGTGATCCCGTAATAGAAAGTGCTATACACTCATCACCATTATCTTTTCCGAGGAGCGAAGAGACGAAGAACTTCTACCACCATTATCTTACCGGCTTTTTATGAATTATTTACTTAATTATATTTTTATACATATATTCAACTATTTTGTTTTGTTTACTGTAACCCGGTAGCGACGGGTTATTCGGCTTGTAAATAATTAATTATAGTGCAATAAAGTATTATCTAATTATCCGTTTTAATTGTTTTTATAATTTACTATTGAGTAAAATTAAATAAATAAATACTATAGGTACTAATGTCTTGTACACGATATTAAATGTTATTTAACAAGCAAAACATGCATTGTCATTTGTCATATTTATTTATGTGAGACAGGGTCCCGGGGGCCCCCACAATATATTCCGCCCATTAGAAAAAGTGGTATTGGCCAGGCTCTAATTAATACCCTATACGGCTATACCAGAGATGGCAAATCCATGGCACGCAAAAAGATTTTGAGGGCAAACGAAAAGTTAAAATATTTTTATCATATATATAAGTAGTATAAAATAGAGTGTTCAGACCGCTGATCCCATGATCCCATGATCCCATTATCCCATTATCCTTGCTCTTCATCGCCACCGCCCGATCGCGCATGTACTCGACGTACATTTTTCCCCTCCCCACTCACCGCTTACGTGCGCGACGTATATTTTACCCCGCCCCGTCCTTGCTCGTCATCGTATAGCGCATGCGTACAACATATTTTCGCGCATGCCCATATATTATGTATGCATCGAACGACCGTTTTGTATATATTATCTAAATTTTTCAAAAAATAAATATTGAAAAAAGGCCACAGGTTGGCGCATGGTCCGTGCTCGGATGCGGTCAACAACAGGTCAAAGTGTCCCGACATACCCTAGTTATTGTTAACAATGACATTCTTCAACAAGGGTTGTGACTATACCCTTCGTTTTGTATTCATGTAATATCTTAGAACATTGGCGGCGTGACAAGGGTTTTATGAGACCCGGGTCATGTTTATTACTTTTCTATGGTGTGTAGTGTGTATCTATTATTATAAATGTACTCGACACTCGTAATTCGTAAACTCTTTTGAGGGCGGGTGGTCCCTAAAAACGTTTTTGTCTCATGAATGAAAAATGTTCACGCCACCACTGGTGACCTAGAAACCCAGTCGTGTTTTTAACGTTGTACCCTTCATTTGTGATATTTATTCCTTTTGATTACTTTTATTTTAATTTTTTAATATTAACTAAATAATTAATTATGTGTCGTATAATTCTCGAAGACGACATCTCACCTAACGAATGAATTTTGCAAAATGCGTAAGTGTTAGTAATTTTAAGTTATTTTGATATATATTTATATATACATATTTTTTTTATTCAGTGAGATAATTGAGCCGCCGGTCGTTCGGTCGGCTAACTCTGACACTATAATTTATTTAAGACGGTTGCATCAAGAATATTCACTCATAAATAATTCAGGTGAGAAGAAGAGGATATGGTCAGCACATGCGAGATCGGTTTCTGTACGGTGTAATGTAGAAATGAGAGTTTTGTGTATGTTGATGCGTGAAAGTCATTATGATCGATCGATTCCTGAAGATGAGGTTATAGTAAGTTTAAACATACGAATATTCAAATATTGTAGATAATATGATTAGATTTACTAATATCAGATAATTTATTATAGATTCAACTATCGTTTCGTGAGTTATTACACTCATCTAGTACGATCAGGAGGCATACCCAGTACTATATCATTATGCAGTTACTATATGGACTCAGGCGAATTGCGATTTTCGATTCCGAACGCATTAGGGAAAAATTAGAAATGGATTGGACCATCTCCATCAAGAGAGTATAATATAATATGGTATGAGACAATATCAAGAGTTTTTTTACCCTTATATTTCATATACATTTCGCCATCATATTTGTCTATATCTAACTCAGAAATAATATTAACAAACCTCTGGGGCAATAATAGCATATCCTTATTGTTTAATAAAACAGAAATTCTTTCACCATATTTTGTATCTACTTTTCTAATTGTTGTTATTTTATAAAGTTCATTGATATTTAAATCAGATAATTTTGTATATTTGTAATATTCTTCATTTAATTTCTTTAATACTTTAATTACAGTAGTGTCAAAAGAATTATCTTCAAACTCTATACGATGGTATGAATCTCCATTATCAAGTATTTTTTTATTTTTTTATACCTGTAATAAAGGTAAAGTGTAGACCACTCTTTATCATTCACTTCATATATATTTTCAGAAATAGTCTTAAAAAATCTATCTGGTAAAATTGTAATAATTATTACAATCTTTAAAATTAGAGGAAGTTTATTTATGTACAAAATGTCAAGATTTTAAGAAAACTGATGAATTAAGTAAAAATCAAAAGTGGTGTAAGACTTGTATGAAAACTAAAGTTAATAATGATTTTAAAATATGCGAATGTGGAAAATTGAACTTATGAAATTATTACTAATAATGAGTTATTATTATATATCATCTTTTCATAAAGACTGATAATTTTGCTGTTACGATTCATTGTCTTATATTTATTTTTATTTTTATTTATAAAGAAAAAATTTTGATATATTTATTTTAATATCAATGTAATTGTATACACTATGGTATTTCAGGGGTGTATGGAAATACACCCTGAAGATATTTAAAATAAATATAAAAATTAGTACTATTGTAAATGAATTTGAGGTGGCTGGTTTGAAACCAGTCACTTATAATATTATATTATATTATAGTAAAAATCATGGTCTGTTTTTCCGGCCATGATTTTATTAAAGAATAACTGAGAATTTACATTTTTGATATCTAAAATCAATTTTTGATCGTGACCGGTTTTTTGATTGTAAAAAAAACCGACTGCGCTCATAGCTACATAACCTATCTACTTATATAATATATTAATTTAATATCATTCTTTTTCTAGATTCACTGATTTACCATGTCTATACCGATGACTTTTATGTAGACTTGGCGGCTAACAGTAGCTTACTGGACCGGATGGACACCGCCAATCTGCCTAGTGACCATCCGTGCTATGTGGCAACCAGAAAGAAGTCCCCGGGATACTTTTCCGATGAAGTAGACTCGAATATAATTACTGAATTCTGTGGATTGAGAGCCAAGTCATATGCTTTCAATGTGTATGCCGGACCGGAGGAAAGAGTTGGTGGTGAAAAAATCAAAGCGAAGGGGATAAGAGGTCATGTGGTTAAAAACCACATGACTCTTGAGGATCATAGGAAGTGTCTGTTTGATGAAGAAGGAGTAGAATTGTATAGGGAAAACGTGTCAATACGGTCGTTTAACCACCAACTAATGACAATTAAGACCAACAAGTTAACTTATAACAGCTATGATGATAAGAGGGTGGTGTTAGACGATAAAATACATACACTAGCACATGGACACTATAGTATAGAGTAACTTATTACAAATATATATATTTAAATTATTTTACTAACATTTTATCTTAATTTTATAGGGAAGATGAACCTGACGATGAATGGCCTGAACTCGACTATGAGGTAGATGACAGAGGACGACGATGGAGTAAACTGGATAAAGAGTTTATGAAAGAGCTTCTTTGTTACACAACTAAATAGTTTTATTTCAGAAACTTTACTTATTTTTTTGTTTTATAGTTTTATTGTTTTGTTATATATTGATTATTGTAAATAACTTGTAAATATTATCCTATTAATTGTTATATAATTTAAATACTTGATAATAGATTATTGTGTAATTTGTAAATATTTTTGTAAAATATTAGATTAGTGTATAAATTTGTAGTATTAACACCTTTATAATGTATACTTTGTATGTAAATGTATAATTTTTATTTTTATATTGTATAATTTGTAAATACTATGTAAATATACCGTATCAGTATGCTTTTGTTAGATATATAAGTTAGTTTAAAATGTTTTTTCTTGTAATATTTTTTTTTATTTTACCACCTTTATAATGTATACTTTGTAAATATCCATGTAAATGTATAATTTTTATTTTGTATAATTTGTAAATACTCTATACCGTATCAGTATGCTTTTGCTAGATATATAAGATAGTTTACAATGTTTTCTTGTAATATTTTTTTCCTGTATAATTGTTTAAGCTATAACCATGTTTTTCTGTTTCAGGTAGATGGATGATAATATTAGTATAATTAAAAAACCTTGTAAATGCTAACATAAATATGTTAACATATAAATTAAAAAAACAATATTAAAATATAATTATGTTTATTAAATAAAATGTGTACAATCATATTTTTAAGAATTATTTATAAACCATTTCCTTATAGCAAATAATTTATAGAATGTACATTGTTTTGGATTAAATTCCATATGAAAAATACAGCAAGGTAGAGTTTCATCGTCACATATTTCGTCCAAACGTGGACATCCAAGATCTTCGATGTTGATTAGTGCGACTCGAGGTATAAATTCTGTAAGCAGCTGTTTTTTCTGCTCACCTTTGACGTAAATGCATGAGAACTTTAAAGAGTTTAATATTCTACTTAGTTCTTCATACTCAACATCACCATATTCTATAGTAAGTTTATGATAGTTATGTTCCAACCACTTATTAGTTTTTCGACTCTTGTTGTCCTGCTTAGATTTAGAATTTTTAAAAATCCAGTGTTGGTTCGCCCATGTTTCAGTGTCCACTATAGATAATTCTTTAATAAAATATTTATTGTTTGCTCCAAGAACGCATTGCATGTCTGCGATGGCGGACGACATAATTTCAGGTATATTAAATGTATGTATATATATAATATTTTATAACACTTAAATATTTATAACACTGACATAGGACTACCAAACACGATGGTGTATACAGCTCGACTGAAATTATTTTTCAATACCGTATGACTCTAACCAACTATTTTTTATTTTTGCCTTCCAGGATTATCAAACGTGAATTTAATTCTGAAATATATGTTCCGTGATTCGGCAATGAATTTTCATCAAATATTCCGGTTATACGATTTATTTCAGCTTTTAATTGGCTCACGTCCGCTTTTAATAGGCTCACGTCTTGACCCTGGATGGCGATTGTGGTACTACTATCAGCATACTTATTAATTAGCTCTGACATACGATTTTCGTAATCAAATATAGACTTATTACTTGTCTGTATATTATTTTCAAGCAATTGTATCTTATCACGTAGATTAACAATATTACTTTTCAGAGTATCAATTTCTTTTTGTTGAAGTTTCACATCGTTTACAATTGTTTTGTTACTTGTTTGAATATCTGATAT